TGCTTGGTCAGTAATAGTAGACTGATACTAAGAAATTGTAAGAATTCGAAATTCATGCGATCGATTCAACCAAATCAGTCAACAATACCACGGTTTGTGAATATGTGATGTGACTGAATTGGATATTTATTCAAATCATGTTCATTTTGAACATATTCTCAGTTTGCTGACAATCAGGAGTATATTTTCTCCGAATAAGGAATTTTCCCTCGGATAGGGGATTTTCCTTCGTTCAGCAATAACCCTTCAAATGATTCGAATAAACGCAATCGCCAGCGTCACTGATCTTAATTCACGCACCTTATTCTTATGTGCTGATACAGCTGCATAACGGACCGTGCCACGGAAGCCTGCCGCACTTCTTGGACTCCTGATCTCACCTTTTGCATTCAAATACTGTCGTGCTAGACCGAAATCGAGCATGTAAACGCACCGCATCGTTGACGTTGTACGTCCCATGGCAAAGTTTGACTGAAATCATGCGATGATTCGACTGAAGTCATTCAATATATCATCATTTGACCAGAAGAATAGACGATAAGGTTGATGAAATGGCATATAAAAAGCTGTTTTGACTGGGAATTGCAGTACGTGATAATACGAAACTTTCTGTCAACCGAATTACATGGAAGCCCATCACTGCAGGAACAGTCGTCGGTTTCAGTGATTAATGAGCCGATGGCTAGTCCCAATTCCCAGTATCACTAGTTTCCTCCTCAATGTCGGTCTGACAGATGTGAATTGCCCGACTGGAGAATATCCAATTGAGAAAAACTAATTGAAGCGAATAAGCTAAATTCCACGATTGAGGCGAAGAATTTATTTCTCTCATGCACGTTCTACTTCGTTTTCTTGACCGTATTTCTTTCGAGCAGATGCAATCAAACGCAATTTAATCAGACTCAAAGCGATGTCGAGTTGAGTTGCGAGTAATGCGCTCATATTGACTGCTTTTTCAAATTAGTTGAACACTCAAAAAAAANAAAAAAAACGAATAGAACACGACGAATCGTTGAAGCGAGAACAACTTCGTCCAGTCAATCTGTCAATCATGCAAGTCAGTTGCCATGAAAATTTAGCATCCAATCGAACCGGACGGAGATTTAATCCAATTCAACAAAAAATCCAATGAATGCATCGATAAAATATAACACCATTCGCATTTTTTGGATAATTTATTCACTTTAGAGTTTATCAACTTCTTCAGATTAAAAGTCAATTGAAAATTTAAAGTTTGTTTTTTTCTAACATAAAGTTTTTTCATTCCCAACACTTAAAAAGCATTCGACAGACAGACAAGATCAAGAACGCGATTTCGATACAAGAGAAACGTCAAATTTATCATTCTCTTTG